CGAGCCCACCCTCTGCAGAGCTGCCCCCGCGCCCCCCGCCCCTGCGTCAGCGTGAAGATTTCCCCCAAGGGCACGGCCGAGGAGAACCGGCGAGAGGCACTGAAGAAGCTGGGGCTGCTGAAGGAATAGCTGCACGGCAGTGGGGGCGCTGGGAGAGGGGCTTGGCACCCCACATCCAGCTGCCTTCACTGCCCGTCCTCGGGCAGCACGACCACCAGCATCTTCTGCTGCCCTCCCCCACCGCAGCATCCCGGGCTGGGGCCATGAGAAGGACTGGGAGCTTCACACCAAACCCAGTCCCAGCAGCTGGACATAATATTCTGTATAGAGCGAGTGTATAGGAGCTATTTATGTAAAGCAGCCCCCTGCTCGTGGGGGGGTCTGGCCTCCTGCAAGGTCTTTAATATGTTTGAGGGTTCATTGCAGCAGGGACGCCGTGGAGCTGGGGGCTTGGCTTATTTTAAAAGGGGATTCCTGTGGATAAAACCTCTCTGGGAAGAACTGCAGAAGTCTGCTGCTCCTGTAGGATTTTATGGGGTTTTTTTGTTAACTTTATCAAAGCCTCTGAGGCTGGAGCACTCACCTGCCCTGTGCAAGTGCCTCCCAAAAGCCACCGCTGCCACATACAAAGCTGTCAGACCAAGGGGCACCAGAGGGGAGCCAGCAGGGCTCCCCTCTGCACGGGTGCTCCTCCTACAGCACCCATTGCAGGGACCTCCCACTGCCTCCTCCACCAGCCTGCTCTCACACCCAGCCCCGACAGCCTGGACACAGCACTCACAGAGCCACAGAGATCCGTGTTCAGCCCGATGTGACAGCCAAGAAGGGACAGAAGCACTGCCCAGAGTGAGAGGTGCAAGTCTGAGACAAGATCATCCCATTCCCTTTCAAACTCTCCCTGCATCTTTCAGGCCCAGACGATGCTGTCACCATTTATGCTGCTCACCTTTGATAAGGAAGGTGGTTTATTTCTGTAATAAACTTGTATAGGGTCAGAAAATGACTGTAGTGCAGATTTTGTTGCAGTCAAAGCTGTGATAAAGCCAAATAATGAGCTTGAACCTTCAGTACGTCTTGACTTGAGGAGTGGGAGTGATCCAGACAGCAGCTGGGCATTGCAAGTGCTGAGGTCTGAACATCCTTGGCCTCCTGCAGCCCAGGACCAACAGGATTTTGTGCCAGTGTCTCCAGTGCAATAATCAGATGCAAATTCTTCCACAGCCCTGCCAGACTGGGATGGGTGACATGGGACCTGCCACTGTTCCAGCCGTCCCCTTCCTGGCTCTGGGGCACATGTCCCCCAGCAGCTGTGTGAGCTGGAAAGCTGCACTAACAGCTTGGCCTGAAAGGATCATTTTATTTCCTTCGCTACAAAACATTTTCCATGCAGTCCTGGCTTTCAGTGCTGGGCATCTAGAGAGAGTCTTTGCTAATAAAACAAGTGCCTGTTCCTAACAGGCAATTTAATTTCAAAACTAATGTAGGTTTTCATTAGAGAGGGGCTGACCCGTGGAGGCAATTGCACTAAACAATTTACTGATGTTAATTAACTGCTTGCAGCATTATGGTAAAGTTGCATTCAGTTGTTTTCATCACTGACCTTGCAGCACAATCAGCTTTTCAGGACAGGGTTGTGAATACTAAACAGCCTCCTACTGACAGAACCCAGAGCTAGGCTTCTAATTCCTTCCCAAAGAGCCCTCAGCAGAGCTTTGATTTTGCCTGGAAAGGAAGAGAAGGTGTCCTCCTGCAAAAGCTGCATGGTTTCACAAGCCTTCCCAGAACAAAGGTGTGCAGGAGGGGAGGGAAGGGCACTGACCCTCGTGAAGAACCCAAAGAATGTGAGGAAATGATGTCTGATTGGCTACACTTCATAAAAACAGGGAAATGCTTGTTTGTAGGTAAGCAATTAACTGAATCAGTTTGGGGCTGGCCTGCAGTAATGCAAACCTGCACATCAGGGAGGAAACCAGAAGTCATCTGGGCTAAGGGCTGACCTCAGCTCAGCAGGCAGCTCAGCAGACACCGTGTTGCATGTAGCTTGGTTCCAAAAGGGGGACAAGGGTGGGAAGGTCACTAACCCCCCAGCCTGAGCCCCGTGCCCCAGTCACAGGGGTAAACTGCTACGTGGCTGCACACCGTGGGCAAAAACCCCTGCCCAGAGCCTCTGAGCCAGGCACAGGGTTGGCTCCAACCCCAGCACAGCCAGGGAGGCAGCTCTGCGACGTGCCTGGGGCATCGCCAGGGGTTTAAGAGGTTTGGGGGAGTTTAGGAAGGATTAAGGTTGTTGGCACCGAGAGCTGAGCAGGGCACAGACGCTGCCCTACACACAAGGTGAGCCTGTCCCAAGAGGCAGGTCATAAATACAGCCTGAGCTGGGGTTCCCTGTGTGAAATGAGGTCCGTGTGAGCTTGGAAGGCACCTCTGCACAGCCAAAGAGCCAGGGGGGGCTGCTCAGGGCAGGGGCTGATGCAGGAGGCAGAAAGAGCAGCTCGGGTTGAGGGGAGATGCTGTAAAAAGCTGCGTGGAGCTGAGAGGTGCCCGTGGTGCCTTGGGAGAGCAGGATCCAGCTGCTGGCAGCAGGGCTTGGCTCTGGGTGGCACCCAGCAGAGTCATGTGTCTCCTCTTGAGTAAGGCCCCAGCCCAGGAGCCACACAGCCCGTGGGGACAAACACCCTCACTCTGAGTGGCTGCAAACATTTCCAGCCTGTGAAGTGTCACCTTTTGCTTGCAGGGTCAAGCAGCAACGCCTGCTTCTGGAACAGGGCTGGCCCACGGTGAGGGGTTCAACCCAGCAGAAGCATCTGAGCCCACGGAGAGGCACAGAACTGGAGTTCAGTCCCGGAGGGATGACCCTGATTACCTGTGGTGGTTGTTATAATTTATTCTCTTTTGTCCCCATTTCATACCAGCCAAGCCTCACACACCACTGCTGTTACTGAGCATCACTCCACCTCATCAGGGCTCTACAAGCAACCTCTGGAAGTGAGATTTCTGCTAGGAACTCTGATCAAAACCTTGCTTCCATGCCTGCCATGCATGTTACCCAGTACCACTTGCTGGTTTTGACTAAAACCAAGGGAAAAAAACCTCTCTTTCTAAAACCATGTTTCTAAGGTTCTATTTCAAGCCAAAAATGCTGTGAGAGAAACCTTAAATGCTCTCCTCCTTCCTCACTAGGCGAGATTCCCTTTGAGGCTGCAGCAGTCATCTCTCTGCCTTGCACAAGTGATGTGCAGCAAGAGAGCACCAGGTCCTGCAGCGCTGGGGCCAGCCGCGGGTGAGCAGGAGTGCTCAGAGGAGAGGAGCTTGTGCCTGGAGATGCACCATAAAACCACGCAAGAGCCGCCTTCAGAGGGCTGACCCCTTCCCTCAGAGCTGAATCTTTCATCCTCCCCTCCTCTTTCATTTGTACCGTGCCCTCGCTGCCTTTAAACTCAACCATTTGCACTTGAAAGCCGCAGCCTGGGGAGCGCAGCGGGGTGGGAACCGCTCCTGCTGCCTGCCCGCACATCGGGGGCTCAGCCCAGCCCCGGGAATCGCCCCTTTCTGGCTTGGGGGGGAGCCAGGAGGCAGCACCCAGCACAGCAGCTCTGCCTTTCCTCACCCACACGGCTCCTCCCCAGCCCTGCCCCGCCGGCGCACTCCCCAGCCCTGCCCCGCCGGAGCACCCCCTCCATGCCAGGCAGCCAGGACCATGGGGGGCAAACCCCTCCTGCTCCAACCTACCCACCAGCCAAAGACTCAGAGGAGATTTACCTTTGTTCTAGCCCAGCCTGCCTCTCTCCTCAGCAGCCTCCAGCAGCGAGCTGCTTGCTCCTCAGCCAAGTGCCCATGAGATCCCCAGCAAAACAGCCCCAGCTTGCAGGCCAGCAGAAGCCACAGCAGGGCCATGAGCTTCACTTTTATAAGGGGAAGAGCTGCTGGGCAGTCAGAAGAGCTACTGGCCATCACTGCTGTGCTCCCAGCCCACCACCACCACCAGCTGCTGTGAGGAGCTGCAGCCACAGCTACTCTTCTGCCAGGGAGGCAAGGGAAAGGTTGCTCCAGGCTGCTCCAGGCTGCTCCTGGCTGCTCCTGCCCCTTTGTGGCACTTGGAGGTACCTGGGAGATGGAGGGGAGAAAAGTAAGAACAGCATCCAAATCTCCCTCCAGGTTCAGCCAAGCTCCAGCCACATTCCCAGGTTCTTGTCTGGGTGCCTCTGAAAGAAGACTTTGTGCTGTTTAATTCTAAGCATAATTTGCTTGATTTGTGCCTGGAGGGCAAAATCATAGACCCCAGCCAAAAAAGCAGCTGTGAAGAGAGATTAGAATATTTCAGAAGTAACTTGAAGAGTCGGTACATGTGCCCTGGGAGGCTTAGTGCAGATCACACAGATGGTGTTTATTCAGTGCTGCAATGTTAGAAAGCACCCAAAGAAAACACTCAGCTTTGCATTTTGCATGGGGTGTTCATCTGCTTCTTAACTATCAGTCCCACACGGGCTCAGACATATCATTTCCATGTCTGCATGAGCCTGTCAGGACCTACTATCCCAATTAAAGGTGTTCCTGTGCACAGCTTTCATTACAAAGATCAAATTCAGGAGAAGTGGTTTGTTAAATTCTGCTGGTATCAAAGAATCTCAGCTGCACTGGGTCACAGTCTCCAGGAGAAACTGGTCAACTTAATGATAGACTTTGTCCTTGTGCAGCAGGTTTGGTGCAGGTGTC